TATATATATACTGCATATAGATATATAAAGTATATCTATATACTGGAACAAGAGCAAGACATTCATGGACAAGAGATGAGAACAGGGAACTACTGGAATGCTACTATACAAGTAACTCCAGTGAGAGGGGTTACATACAGAGTATGTGGGACCTATTGATACTTCAAAACCAAACATCTAAACTAACATTGAAACAAGTAGTAGCTCAGTGTTCTAGCATCCGCAAGAAGCACCTGCTATCACAACTTGAGATTGATGAGGTACAACACTAATGCTATGACAACGGGGAGCCAAGACAGGTCATGGGAGAGATACAGTATCATCATCACCCCCACAAGATTGGGTACCAAGCCCCAATAACAAGCCCAGATGAGCTTAATGCAAGAGCAGCTGACCTGAGATTGAAGATCATGACCAAGATAGACACCTGGAACCTCTGTGGCTGGTTACCAAGACCAAGTGAAGTGCCTTCTGAATGTTTACTAGAGGATGTGAATGCAGCACTACAAACAATCCCTACTATGACCATCACTGAGATCAACAAGCTGATATACACCACAGCAACCGGGATCCTTGAGATACTTGGCCATAAGGCCATGAGGAGCAGTATCCTCCATGGAGAAGGAGGTTGGAGACCAAGATCTGCCCTCACATGATCCACACACTCCATGAGCGCCTGGTGGGACAAATGAACCAGCTACAAATGGATGGAACCCACCCTGAGTGGTTAACTGAAGGCCGGACAGTCCTGATCATGAAGGACCCTCAGAAGGGAGCAGTACCATCCAACTACCGCCCAATAACCTGCCTCTGCACAACATGAAAGCTCTAGTCAGGCATCATAGCAGCTAAGATGAGCAGGCACATGGCTCAACACATGAGCAGTGCCCAGAAAGGAATTGGTAGTAACACCAGAGGAGCGAAGCACCAGCTACTGGTTGATAAAGTAGTCGCTCGAGACTGCAAGACCAGGCATACCAACCTGTGCACTGCCTGGATTGACTACGAGAAAGCCTATGACTCAATGCCTCACACATGGATCCTGGAATGTTTGGAACTGTACAACATCGACAGGACTCTAAGAGCCTTCATCAAGAAGTCAATGGGAATGTGGAAAACAACCCTAGAGGCCAATCCTGTATGCCATATATATACATATACATACAGTATATATACACACACAGGGACATAGTGACAATAGTGGACAGCCTTTGTAATGGCAACAAATGGCATCATCTGATGGTTATTATAGATGTCACAGAGAACATTACATTGTATGCAGTGTTTGCAAATGACATTTATATTACTGTCACAAACTGCAATTTGTCTTTTCTAAATGTCATTGCAATATAAAGCTTATCTCCTGTATTAACATCCTTGACATATCAACATCTGCTCTGCAGGAGTGCAAGATGATGAATCCAAAGGGTGAAATGAATGGAATTTAGAAAATTGTTATTCACCAAAGTTCTAATGAAACATTAGTTGTTATGTTTCTGCCCTCTTGTACAGTATCTATTTGTCAGTTTTAGATGCAAAATCACACATTAAACTGTAAATGTTATGCAAAAGCAATATGGATAATCCTTATTCACACTGTATAGTTTGTTATCCCTATGAACAATGAATATGGTATTGAAGACAATATCAACAGTGTACTGGCCCAAAATATTCAAATTAAGATTTACAGTGAAACTAAAAATGTTATTATCACGGGTGATTTCTAAATGTCTCTGTAAATACGTTTCATCCCTAATGTCTCCAAGAGTTTGGGGGGTTTTGTTCAACCAGGCTAAGTGCAAATACCAATGAAATGGAATCAACAAAATTAAAGTCAGCTGAAAATGTTGATGGGTGGTGGTAGCGGTGGTGGTGGTGATGATGTTAATGATGATGATGTTGATGACGTCTACATTGCGTGGATAGACTGTGACGGGGACCACGTATGGTGAAATGATTCCCCCACCCAGGCGGTGATCTCTACAGCATATATCCTTGAGAACCAACTTCATTATGGAAGGTGGAAATTGTCACTGTAGCCTATATAGTGAGCTGACTGGATTTTCACCCCCTGCCTCCTCAACCTTCCATTTCAGCATCACTGCCCACTCTCCTCGGCGACGTCCGTCATCTTGTGACAGCTCTTGCGCCCTTTGGAGACGTTGTGATACTGAACTGATTTCTCTGTCGGGTTTGCTCTCAGCCTGCTCCATTCGCACATGGATGTTAAAGAAAGCATATGGATGAGTAAATGCATCCTTCCGGAGCGCCTCTGCCCCACTTAAGAGCGCGTTAAGGAAATACTCTTCAAAGGCAGCAAAATAAAAAAACAAAGCAAACGCAATCTTGTCACAGCCCTTCGTGATATCATACTGAAAGGACTCGTAATAATTACAGATATGCTTGTCTGGGTAATCAAAAATGTGGAATTATCAGGATGGAAATATAAAGGCTCTGGAAAATATTCAGCTGTGTTGATACCTAAGAACTTAGAACAGCATAATAAACCACAACCAGAACTGGAACAAAATGCCAAAGTCCATTAATAAGCTATTAGATGAAAATACGTGAGCAATGATGCACTGATGCTTGTTTTGGAATAGTAGACTGAGCATTTTTGTTTTTATAAAAGTCGCAAATGCCCGCATTTTCCGCGTTACTATTTCAACAAATCAGTTCAAAAGGTAGAGGAAATATTCAGCAGTTACGTGGCCTGGCAGCCATCTGGGGCGACACGTTACCTTTGTGCATGCCGGTGTATCGGTCCTTGAGAACTGTCAGTTCGTGGATTTTCCCAAACTGTTCAAACAGGGGTTTCAGGTCTTTTTCTTCCAGGTTCCGCGGTATCTGCCCGATAAACAGCTTAATGGCATCTTGGTCTTTCATGTTGCCGCTCTCCGGATGAATTGAAATGGGTTCTGACCCGTTCATGGGTTTCGGAAATGTGATCTGAGGGTACTGGTGCTGGTGTGGGATAAGTAGTAGTGGTTGTTGGGTCGGCGATGCCCCCGGTCCGGTGAAAACCAAGCTGGAGTGAGCGGGCTGGGGCTGCTGTGGATGGTACTGCCTTCTTGTTTCAGTCTGAGTGAATCTGGCCATTCTGAGCTGGGAGCAGAGTGGATAATAATGACAACACACACACACACACTGTGAGAGAGCAAGCACTCAGCTGGAAACCAGGCTGACTTTCTATCCGACTCACAACACACACGCACACACCGTACAAGGCTGAAGGGAGGGTGATCGTGGCGGAATGAACGCACAGGAGCGATATTTGACACTCTGGAGCGACACCCAGTGCCATTTATGAAGTGTTTCAACCTAGGGAAGGCAGCTTGACCAAACGAATGAGGACTGTTTAAAATGTGGGCTCTGAACAGCTTTTTGAACTGAGCATGTTTCTCTAAACAATGGGGGGAACTACTGCTTAAGTGTTTACTATTCCTTTACTTTAGTAAAAGTAGCACCACAGTGGAAAATTTCACATCACAGATTTTATTTATAACAGGAAAAACATGTCTTACCAATAGCATTAATGGTGGCTTCGTTCTATTTCAGTTTCCTGCAGTAAGTCATGAGAGAAATCATTACTTTTATTACCTGTGCTTTTTCTGTCAAAGTGCCCTCCATAAAAACGCCAATTACATGTAAATGTCAGCTTCTACTTGAAATAAAGCAAACAAGAATGGGCAGTAATTTGTACATAAGTCAT